GCTGAGTCAACCCTGAGGCGGTGAGATTTGAACAGCCGAACTGCAGTCAGCTGAAGTAGCCTGCAGTGCTACATTTAACCCCTGCGCCACCTCGGCTCTAGTAGACCAGACTAAGAAACCAATGACATGTAGGGCAGGAACTACTTTGTTAGTGTTTGCAGCAATCCAACCAGCACACAAGTAAATAATTCAGCAGGATTCATTTATATGAGAAACTTCTTTTTATGCAATGCCATGCAGCAGAAGCCAGAACAAGAACTCAGAATCCAGAAGTACAGAAGAATATTCACAGAAGCAATATAATACAGAGGCAATATTGCAAGGCAAAGCAACAGTTATATCCAAATCAGTCAAGCTAAGCCACACCCAGGCTCTGAGCTGCCAAACTGTCCCCATTGGCTGAACTGTTATCATGTCTATTCCAATTCATGAACCCTTATATACTGACACACTTCAATGGTAACAGCTATAGAAACCGAATCCTGTACATCTGAATGTCTTTCCCTCCCTTTTTCTTCAAGGAGCTAGGAAGGAACTCAGCTAAGACATTCACTCAACTTAGGTTCTTGGCTCAGGACGTAGTAGCAGTTCTTTCTCCTGTCCTTCAAGGTGATCCTCTCTTCTGTCTAAAGTTCCTCATCTTCTACAATCTCTTACAGCTAATAGTTGTTTGCTATTATTAGTAAAAGAACAAACTCATTTTCTGTTGCTGCATTGGTTCCTGAAATTCAATCATCTCTCCAACTTTTAGGATTTAATAATTATTAAAAATGAAGCCATTAAAGCAGGTCTTTGAATGATAAATGCTCCCATTTCCTTATTTATTGTATTATTTGCAGGTAATGATTTTAATTGCTTTTCTGGATTGTTTATTCAGAATGCATAATAGTATAGTGAATATTAAGATTTCTATATTTACTTATTCAATTTTTACGACTTACTGAATGGGTTTACAACCATTAGAATTATATTTGTCATCTATTGCTAATATTTGAACTGCAGCTGACAGGAGGGAGGGGGAGGGAGGGAGGGAAGGGAAGAAGGAAGGAAGGAAGGAAGAAAGAAAGGAAGGAGAAATACTTTGAAGCTGTTTTTTTCTCTATACACAGGAATGATGCATTCTAATTTCCAACCTAGTACCAGGACAAATGAAAAATTAGCCAAAGAAGAGGTGTAAAATTACCCTACAAATATGTTTAATGAGTTATCTTTTGTAAATATTTGCAAAAGTTCTCGAGTGATTCACACACTATTTGGGGGGGGGGGCTTGTGGGGGCATTGTTTTCCTACTCTTTAGAACTTTCTGAATTATCCAGTGTAGTGGATTCCTTTTGTATGTTATATACAAAAATGCAAAAACCAATACTATTCTATAGCATATCTTAATTTAATAAACCCACAAAATGGATATATTTTTTTTGACAACCTTGTTTGGATCTTATCAATGAATGGCATATAATTTGCTTATGTCCTGTCATATCTGTTAGTAAAAAATATCATATGTAGGTATTTTTTGGTCTTTGCTTGCCTAAAATAAATCAAGCCTAGAATGAAGTTAGTACAATGCCCACAGGAAATTAATATGACCCCTGATCTTCTTTATGCACTTCTTTTTATCATATAAATATATATAATATGATTACTGTATGCATATCTGTGCTTTGTTTCCATTGACTGCATTGCTTAGTGACAACCAAATGTTTCTATAAAGGTTTTTGTTATTTCTTGATAAAATCTTCATACAGTCATATCCCTGAAAACCATGTATTTCATTACTACTGATCTCATTAATTTAGAACTAAACTTCATTCCCATCACTGAAGATTTGGGTTTCTTTTTAACTGTAATTCCTAATATATAGAACTTTGGTTCACAAAAATGCCACAAGGCATTTTTACTGGCAGTAGATAAACAAGCACATAATCCACTAAAAATATTTTTAAAGATTTGTTAAATAATATTCAAAGGCTTCTCATCTTTTATTTCTAACAGATGATTTTAAGCAAATGTAGATACATTCTGTATTCTTGCCTAAAAGTTGGGCTAAATGGTAGATAGGCAATAAACCTGCGGTGCAGAGGACAAATTAAGAATATACGTATGTGGGAAGCAGTCTCAAAAATGTCTTGAAAAATTAAATGAAATGAAGGATGCTATGGAGACAAGGAGAATCAGAAATTAGAAGGAAAACAAGATGTAACCCTGTGAGACCTTTGGGGTCTTGTGGCAGATTAATATGTGTTTGGTGCTTTTGCAGTCTGCCAATTTCCTATTTTCTAACTCTAATTAAAAGCATCCTGAAAAAAGACAGGAAATGCAGTGGATCGAATGGTCACCAAGGGACTGAATGGGAGAATTATTATACTTGTGTTATATAGTTTACACTTGTCTAAAATCAATTTTGTCATCCTTCATTCTTTACATAATAATTAGAATAGAATAGAATAGAATAGAATAGAATAGAATAGAATAGAATAG